ACGAAACCAAACGAACACTAAATTTTGATAAAAAAAATAGTTTTAGAGTAATTTTTTATTTTTTTTTACTTTTTGGCAATGTCAACAAATTTCATAACCAATTGTAAAAATAAAAAAATAAAATTTAACAGACAATTTTCATGTAAAATAAAGTCAAACGTGAACAAGAAAATTCAAAATTTCAAAATTTTTCCGAGTGGAAAATTATATCAATTAAACACATTTAATTAACAATTCCCTACAAAACAATTTCTAAACAATTACTTTACCTGAAAATCATTTTATTTCCACCAATTTTCTACACTTACAATCAAACGGACCCTAAGTCACATTTGAACTTCATTTAAAACCTCTCTTTAAAAAAAAAATACATATATATATTATTATTATTATTATATTTTTTTAATATCAATAAAATAATTTTTTTTCTACAAAAATGTAACTAAATTCCTTTCAAGGGAGAGGGAAAAAAAACAATTACTGCGCGAAGTACAACTAGATAAGCGTGGTCACATTCTTCAGCGCTTACTCGCTTAACCCAACTCGCCAAAAGCCCTATTCTCGACGCCTTCAAACCAATTAAGGGTTTACCAGTGAGGGTCGTACGGCGGCAGCAATGGAGGAAGCGGTGGCGACGGACGAGGGAACCGCACAGCCTCTACGCTCAAGAGCTCCCCACATTAAAAAGAGAGCACTCAAGAACAAATCTCTCTCAATATCTTTCAACGAGAAAGACCTAAAGTACGTATTTCGGTACATGCCTGTCGAACGCTTACATACAAGACTCTCTTATTTACTTTGATTTGCTGCGTATACAGGGATTATGTAACTGGTTTTCACAAGAGAAAGAAGAAGAGGAGAAAAGAGGCACTGCAGAAACAAGAATTAGCCCTACGCAGAAAACGCATTGAGGCTCGCAAAAAGGTTCACATTTAATTGCGAATTTTTATCCTATACCAAATTGCAGTTTTATTGATGCTTGATTTATTATATTTTTGTAGCTTCGCCATGTAATTTTCTTCATTTGGATGATTATTCCTCGGGCGGGGTATATCTGCAATTTGCACGATTGCTATTAAACAGTCGAAGCATATAAATTGATAATTTTGGGGAAAAAATGGAAAAGGAAACAACTCCTTACAGTTCAGTGTTTAAAAGTTAGCTATTTTTGTGTAAGTTTGTTCTCTCTTTTTCCCCATCCGGGTGAAAAAGTTCACAATGTCATTGCAACTGAATCATTTTACGACAAAGCTGATGACACGACCAAGGAGGATGCTCGTCAGCTGGTAAATCAACTTTGCTCAAGAAAAAATCAGATCAATTTGGTTGCATGTTTCTCCTTTTAGAGAGCAATATATTGTTATTTATTTGAATTACTTGTTATAGGCATATTAAAATCCAACTTTAAAGGCAAATTCCCATGGCTAATATGTACCATTTTAACAGATAAACCTTTTTATCGTGTAGTCCTCCTGCTTCAGAGATGTTGTCCTGGAACTTCATTGGTGATGTTGCTTTTTCATTGCGTTAGTTCTCTTATCTAGAATTGGGCATTGTGAATATTTTCTTACGTAGGTGTTAAAGTTATACTTCTTTACAAAAGCTCGAGAATTATTACCACACTTTTTTTTGAAGTTTCAAGGGATTTTTGTTCTCACCATTTACAAATTGAATCCTCTACTCCTGAAATGATCTTTTCCTCGAAATTTATTTTCGTATTTTTCAGTTTGTGTAATATTGACATTCGAATTTTGTAGTTGATTCCCATCATTTTACGTTGTGTGGCTCTTGTTTCTTGGGACATAAGCAAAAAGTTTCCTAATTGTTTTCTTAGCAGAACAATCTAAAATCCAACTCTAAACTAACTCACATGGCTCACAGAGGTGAATGCATAAGGGTGCACTTGTCTGATAAATTTTACCTGTCCTGAAGTAGTTGATAGCATTGCTTGACTGTGGCTGAGAATCTTACGACGAATTGTGCTGCAGTTGACTAACGGCTATCATGATATAAACTTTAATTTAATAGAGAATTTGCCCTATATTAATTTATTAGCAGCTGCCCGATCATCCATATTTTTCTTACTCTCAAAGACCATTTTGTTGAGCAAGTTTTATAGGCGCTTTAATTTTGCTGGTTCTAATGGTTCTGCAGAGAAAATTGGAGAGGGACTTTGCTATTTATGGTGGAGCTGCACCTGATTCAGGCATAGGATCTGATGGACCAGATGAGGACAATGAAGATGATGAGGAGACTGAGCCAGTGGCATCAATTGCAGGTAATATGCAGATATGCTATCCGCTAACAAATCCTAAGATATGCATGAGAAATAGCGAGTATTATTTTGAATCCTTTGAGGAGGAGGATTGGCACAATTTCCCTGCATCGTGTGGCAATCATCGACTTTTTGCATGATTAGGGCCATAGACTAATTTCAGAAGAAAATGATTATTTCACTCAATTCAAATCCAGATTCCATGTTGCTAGGAAGACTGGTTGTGGCCATAGAAACTGCAGACTAGCTGAATCCTTTATGTAGGAATGCTAATAAATTTCCCCTGTTCATGTGTATTTTGGATTTATTGCACACGGTGAACATTTTTGGTTATTTTTGAGTTATCTGCTCAATGAATGCTGTAATTAATCTAGATATATCATTGAAGCACCTCCTTGAACACAAAACAACATAGCTTAGTGTTAGAGTGCATAATATGATGGTTTTTTGGCAGGTCGTTGGCTGAAAAACTTAATGAAAGTAGACTTTGTCGAGCATTTATAGAACTTTTTAATAGATCCAAGCCTCCAGTTAACCTAATTTTCTCATTTAAAAGGGACGACAATGTATGACAATGGTGACATGCAAGTCACAGTGACAACAAGCGAGATCTCTCGCGATCAAGAGAACAATATTTTGGAGGGAGCAAAGCCTCGGTACATTGAAGGGCATGAGAAGAGTAAGCAGAACATTATTCCTGTGAGTAAGAAACTGCAATTTAAGAAGGCTTCAAAGAAGAGATCTCGGCCAAAGCCACAGAGCAAGAGAGATAAAAAGAAGGGAAAGAAGAAGAATACGAGTAAAAGGCACTAGACTTGTAATCTCTCTTTATCTCTCTCATGGACCCAACCTTTTCGATGTTCCATTTGTTTTACTTTCAACTTGAAGAGTATATGTTTTTTGTAATCTAATATATTAACTTTCAATATCTCCATCAGGGTGTTGACATTATGATACTTTTTATTCATGCTTGCTTACTTCAAGTGAATTTTATAT